GTCAGTATAGCCATTATCATGACAACTATTATTCTTCCCCTTATTATCTCCTTCATCATCACTATCATCAGAATCATTATTGATATAATAATTTATCATTATTGTCATTATTATCGTAGAATTGTCATTATGTTCGCCATTGCCATTATAATTGTCAGTACCTTATTGTCACTAATCTTTTGCAGTGATGATCACCATCCTCATCATTGCGCTGGAGTTGCTGTTCAACACCACCATCATCTTGATTTATCAATTATAATTATAATCAAGGTCATTATTATGCACATCGTGTTATAATCGTAATCGCAGTTAGTATCAGTGTGCTGTTATGTTCCGTCGTTATCTTTTTTATCATAATCATCAAAGCTAAAATTAATTATTACTATTATTACTGTCATCATCATATGTTTTAATCTTTGACTGCTTCGTCATCGCTTATGATTACCTCCACTAACTTCATGAGCGTTATAATTTTTATGATTATCATCATTTTTGTCGTAGGTATCAAAATCATCGTCGTAGTGATCATTGCCATATTTATCACCATTTCATCCTGCTCGTAATTATCTTAATAGTCACCGATTTCGTTAGGTATATCAGACGTCATTTTTAATCATGATCGTTTCGTTCTTTTTCGTTCATCATTATGATTATCATCATTGTTACAAGCATAATCATTATTATCAGTCCACACCGTTCTCGTGCTCCTAGTTATGATCACCATTATTCTTGCTTTCAGCATGGTTATCGAATTCATCACCGTCTTCATTACGATGATACTCATAATCGTTATTATCAGTGTGATCATTTCTGCCACTTTCATCTTTCTTTTCGTCATCTTATATTCACGGGTAATATACTTGCTTATCCTAACTTTGGGACTTTCTAGCATTTGGGTTATCCTTCGTTTTGTTTATTTTTGCTTTATGTATTTATTTTTAGCTGGAAATTCTGTCTGATGAGAACTGTGCTCAAGTTTTGGATATTAAACGACAGATCAACGAAATCGAGGCTGAACTTAAAGAGTACGACACCTTGGCATTGGTAGCATCTCTGTTTGAGCGGCTGAGCGACCCTGTGAAAATTGACTATGTCCAGCAAGCGAAGCTGTTCATTGCACTGGAGGGGGCCTATCAGACGATCTGTTCGTGCTTCAAGCCATTCGAAAGCAACATGGCGGTCGACGAAGAATCAGCACCGAAGCCGAAAGTAGACCGGAAGACATTAGACGCACTGAAGGATGAGATCACGTGGAAAAAGGAACCGCTCATTTTAAACCTGTACCGACTGTGGGGCGATGCGTTTCGTTGGGAACGCGAAAGCAGCGTTTACTCGGTAATCCTGCGAATCAAATTCACAAATCGGCGAGCATTCCAGAGCTGCCTAGAAGCTCTTACTCTGCTCGACCTGTTGAAACCTAAACTCGAAGAGTTGGCGATCCCGTTCCGGTCTGAAATCTTGGACGTCATCAAACGCCGTCAGTGCGCCGATATCATTTTGGACTGCCAAGCTGATGATCAAATGATCGTCAGCGTAAGGACGATACCGAATGACCAAATAGATTCTGTTTCTTTTGATTCCTTTTCGTTGTTAGACAAAATATCAGCACTGTTCGACAGATTGTCTATGTTATTAAACTTCACAGTCAGAAAAGGGGACGACGGTGGCGAAACGGGGCACGTTGCAGAAAGCCTGTTTAGTATGTTTGGACGGTTAATTGGCGAAGAATTGTTGTATACTATCAGAGATGCATGCCTGCTACCTTCGGTACCGCGAAACGAACTTGAAACAACATCGTTCGACGAACTGGTCAAAAAGTGCATTGAGTTGCAAACCAAGCTGCTAGCTTGGAAATGTATTCCGGAGAACGTCGAAATAGTCGACTGTCTGTTAGCCAATAAAGAAAAACTAATATTGAACAGGAAGTGTGAGGGTCTGTTGACTGATGCTCGAGCCCTCATCATCTCTGACCTGAAAAACGAAGTCGAAGTCGAGGTTGGCACTGATCGTTTCTCCTTTGACCTTGCACAAATCAACTTTCAAAAATTCTTCGACATGGTCGATCCCAGAGACGATAATGATAGTGCGGAGACTGTCTCTACCAACGGTGATGAATCGGACAACAGCGGTATCATTTCTCTGCCTCTCGAGCCGAATATTCGAAGGGGTTTTGCGACTATGTTTCACTTTCCCAAGTGCCGCGTGAGGTATGCCTTTATGAGACAAGTTTTAAATAAAAACCCAAATTGTTGCATTTATTATTTCGCACGGAGTGATGGCTGGTCAAAGTCAGAGGTTGCATGTCTGGATGAATTAAGTACAAGTGTTAAATTTGTTTAGCCACACTGAGCTGTAGTGAACCCTGCAACCACCATCTACTGAGGTATAATGATGAGGATTTGACGGAATTTATTATCCCTTGTTTTCTGTTGATTCCGTTTTGCCACCGATCTAAATCCTACGTCATAGTCTACACCAGATTTTAACTGCGTTGTGAAAGCTTTTCACCTATTTTCTTTCTTCGTGAATTACTGCGTAAACAGTGATGGAAGGAAATGCAACCGTCGTCGTTGCTAGTCCCTCTGAGAGTGAAAAGATGATCACCTTGACAAACAGGCAATGAGTGGGTGAGTGAGAAAATACGCTGGGCTGATGGATAGGAACTGAATCACTATGTTGGGTCCGACTATAGGCTTTATCAGGCCGTTAAAACCATGGAGGGGGAGGGCGTAGAGGTGTACCGAGTAATTCAAGTCACGGTCGGAGTCACTCGCTCTTCTTCCTTCCGAGCTTGATAAGCGTGTACTACTCTGAAGAATGAAAGCAGGGGATTACACGCTAATTTGTCACGTGGCTGTTAACTCTGTCTTTAAAGTAAGGCACCCAAGGCTGATGGCATAGAAACGGAGGTCAGCACCGCGCCATCAACTTCATGAGGAGAAGGTTAAAATGGCCCAATCATGAAAGTGAAGTTAGACCTACAATAGCAGCCATAATGTGTGATCTCAAACTTAACATTAAATTCTACTTGATTCTCATTTACCGTAAAACTTTTAGTGAGATTTTATGTACGTTTTTATGTAATAGATGTAACATTGACGTAATGCATTAAAGTTATGATAACCTTGTTGCTTTATGGTAAAATCCAGATTCCGAAATAGCGACGGAGTGTGCTGAGAATATAAATTACCATATCACTACGAGTAGGTCATTCTTTTTTGTTGTTACTACTCAAAATCGCATAAACTTTTTTTGATTAAAGTGGTTAAATTAACTGCTTTCAGCAGCAAGATAATAGTTGTTTCATTAAAAGTTAATTTTAGTGAATCTGCGACGAAGTTCATGAATCTGTTAAAAAGTGCCCTTGACGAAGCGGTGAAATGCAACGACATCTCGAAGGCGAAGGAAATTGTTCAGACTACCCGTGATATGCTTTATCTTTACCTGTTTTTGGCTCCATTTTACCATAGGCAGCATATGAACGGGCAAGCAAAATTAACTGGTATACACTATCGTTTTGCTATGTTAATTTATATATTCTCTAAGAATCACTTATTAATTAATTCATTTGATATACGTATTTTTTGTTGTACATTGCCTATGTTCTTGTGCTAAGGCATGAAAAATCGTCTTATTTATAACATCAGTAAATTCTGAACAGATGCTCTTTTTTTCTATCTTGGATGAGAGTATGAGGCAATACTGATTGTAAAGTGTGT